CTCCCACCTGCCTCAGGCTTCCCTACTTCCCAGACCAGGCCCCAGACCTGCCCACAAAAATGGGGAGCAGCTTGTAACTAAGATTTGTATATGCCTCGTTACCCCAAGTCCCAGTCCAGGGTGCCCGCCCGGAGGCATCTGGTATCATTTAACAAACACATTGAAGCACGACCTGTTTTCAGAGCTAGGGAAGAGAGAGCCTAAGGGGAGAAGTAGGGACAAAAGTGACATAAGTAACAGCAGCAACGATAGAGGTGAATGGTGACAAAGACTGCTGTGATGAGCAGGTAGCCCAGCAGGGTGCGCTGCACAGCAAAGCGAGTCTCAGGGTCGGAGAATGAGGCCCGGTAGCGCCCTTGAGAGGCCACGCCCAGCCGGAACCCAGCCACTCGCACCCCCTGCCGCCAGCAGTAGTAGATGCCCCGGTCATCCAGCTGGGTGAAGCGGATGTGGAGCTGGTTGCCGTGGTCAATGAACAGCCGCATGGATCTGTTGATGCCTTTCAGGTACTGTGTGCGGTAGAGGTGCTGGTGGTCTTTGTCCCAGGCCACAGCGTGCTCTGGCCGGGCCCCAGGACAGGAGACAACAAGGCTGTGACCCAGTCTCTGCTGGTAAAACTGAATGGGCACCTGGGGCAGCCAGGGCCGGCTGCCCACTTTGGACACGTAGTTGAAGATGGCCAGCACGCCCTCCCGGATCGACTTCCTCTTCTCGCAGGGCACCACACAGCTCCGAACCAGCAGCTCGGGCCTGTGGTCCCTGACCATGGTCCGCAGCTTCCTGGGCACAGCCCGCGAGCCACAGGACACCACGTCGGGCTGTGTCTTGTGGTAGCGCGGAGAGAGGTCTGGGCTCTGCAGGTAGCAGAGGCCAATGCGCCACTGCTCCCCACGCACCCCACAGCGGTCACAGGGGGTCCACTCCCAGAAGGTGGTGAAGACACTGAGGCTCCCATGGTACTCATCTGCAAAGGGCTCCTGGCCCTTGTCCTGGAAGGTGGCCACCATTCCTTCACTGCTCTGGATGTCCACATCGTAGGCATAAAAGTAGTCCCCCTTGCGGGTGCCACAGAAGTACAGGCCTGAGTCCTCAGGCTGCGCCCGGAAAACCAACAGGCTGAACATGCGGATGCTGAAGCGGGCCAGCACGTCGCTGCCCACGCGCACCTGAGTTGCCTCTGTCAGTACCCGCCCATCGAAGTCCGTCAGCACTTTAGTGTGGCTGCTGCCTAGGTGCTTTTGGTAGTACCAGACTACAGCCAACACCTCCTCGGGCTTGCAGTGGCAGGGAAGCTCGAAGCTCATGTCGGCCAGGTAGGCTGCATTGTCAAACATTAGGAAAGCAGGGCAAGGGGTCTTCTGAAAAATGTTTTCTTTTTCCACGATTTCAAAGGCCTGGAGACTCCCCCATGCCCACAGGAACACAGTGGTGTGGGCCAGGCTCATGCCTGCAGGAGGGCGGGGTCCAAGGCACTAAAGGTGGGTTTCCTTCATCTGCTAGACTGACAAGGAGAAGACTTTTTCAGCAGGCAGGCAGGGCAGGGCCTGGAGCAGTGCAGCAGAGGAGATTTCCCTGCCCCAGCACCTGGGCCCTTACTTCTCATTCTGGTTTCCCTTGACCCATTCTTGGGTGAGTTCTAGAAAGGGGAGTGAGGGCCAGGTTCTAGAATGGTCTCCTTTGAGATCAGTTCTGAAACATTAGAAGAGCACCTTGTACATCAGCTGGGAATAAATCACCTTTCACTTGGCTGCTTCCTCTGTAGACTGTTGCTTCTTTTCTGGTTGTTTAATCCTTTCCTCATATAGAGGCCTCGTCTTGGCAATGATTTCTAGAAGCCACATAGGCCTTTAGCGCCAGAGCTTTCCCAGGCCCAATCTGAATTCAGTCCCTAGGGAAATATGCTACACCTCAAATGAGGTAGCATTTAATCATTTGTTAAATGTCCATTCATTGGTTTTGGGTTATAAATAATCTTGTTAAGAGCTGTGGAGCTCAGTGTTTATTTACCATGGAAGATGAGCGATTTTGCTTTTTCCTTTTTCTGAGTGGAGGCTGTAACTGTTAGAGTCAGCATTTGGTTGGGCACACATCCATCTCTCAGGGCCAGTAGGCTAGAGGCTTAGCATACTGGAAGGGTGAGAAGCAAAACGGCTTTCAACTTCCTGGGCCCTTGACTGTCCCGTAGATCCCTACAGTTCAAAACATTGAGGCCCTGGGGGACTGGAGAAGTGGGGAAGGCTCGATTCCTGCTCTCTCTCTCTGAAAATTCAAAGTTAAGAAGGGAATTAGGTGTGGATTTCTCATTACAGTCCTGCAGAAACCCCAAGACAATAACCAAAAAAAAAAAAAAAAAAAAAAACCCCCCCGGGATCCCGGGGGGTTTTTTTTTTTAAAACCCCCAAAAAACCCCAAAAAAAAAAAAAAAAAGCCCCCAGTGATCACTGGGGGCTTTTTTTTTTTTTTTTTGGTTTTTTTTTTGGGGTTTTTTGGGGGTTTTAAAAAAAAAAACCCCCCCGGGATCCCGGGGGGTTTTTTTTTTTAAAACCCCCAAAAAACCCCAAAAAAAAAAAAAAAAAAAAAAGCCTCCAGTGATCACTGGGGCCTCTGTAGGTACCCGGCCCTATTAATTGACCTGGTACAGCCCTTGCAGCTCCTGCAGGAGCCTCTCCTCATCCTGGAGCCCACCAGACTGCTCCTCCAGACCTTGCTCCTCCTGATTGAGTCCCTCCTTTGTGGGTCTAGGGGTGTCCATGGCCTGCAGCTTTTGAAACAATCCTCTGCAGCTCTCTTTCTCTGCATGGCTCAGCAGGCTCAGGTTCAGGGTGAAGCGCCCGGTGCTGGCCAGGCTGTGCAGGATCCCCAGCACCGCTGCCCGGTCGGCCAGCCTGACGTGATCAGCCAGTGCCACCAGCAGCTCCCCTAGAAGTCCAAACCCCACATCCGTCTGGAAGAGGTGGCCCAGCTTTGGACCCCCAAGCTGCAGCAGGGCCTTGTATCGCTCTGCCCCACTCCGCAAGTGTCGCCGCCAATCACGGTAGAACTCTGCTGAGGTCTCAGGCTGGAGGAGTGTTTTCTCCTGGATCACAAAAGAGGAAAAGGGAGTCCAGAGCTCTTCCAGCTGCTCTGGGGCCTGTGGATTTTCATCTTCACTCTGGTACTGCTCACTAAGCACTGTGAAGTCTGTGGTCCTTGTGGGCCTAGTTTTCAGATGAAGGAACTGGGGATGGGACTAGAAGGGAGGGTCCCAAGGAATCCAGTCCACGACTTGAGATTCTCATTTGTACTGGGATTTTCCCCACTGATGAATGGGGTCACAGCTCTGGTCTTCAACAGTAAGTCAGGATTTACTTTGAGTAGGATGGAGGGGTTGATTAGAAATCTCGCGAAGAGATAAATAACTCTGAGTATCAAGGATCTGACATACTAGGTCTCTCTCCCAACACTGCCACAGGATTCTTATACTGTGTACCATATAACCCAGAGGCAGAGCATCCCAAATCTGATCTGGGAATGAAAAGCAAAGGACTGATTGAAAGGGACCTGCCTAGCTTCCTTCTCTGACTCATTCTGCCCAGCTGAGCTCAGCCTCACTATCTAGTGGTTGATTTTCTTTCCAGAAGTGGAAACCTGTCTCTGTTGGCTTAACATGAGAAATAAGACAGGCTTGGAGCTTTAGGGCAGAGAATCCTGCCGATCTAAGAGTCTGGGCCTCACCAACCTGGGAGATTTCAGTGGCCTCATCCTGTAAAGTCCTTCCCTGAGTAGTGTAACAATTCCAGGGTGTGGTTCTCTTTCCTCCCATCTTATCCTTTCGTTCCAGTGGCTTCAGA